ATATTGCATTTCGGCTGCCTTCAGCCTGGTGGCCTTGCCAGAGGGGTTCCGAGGATGCTCCATCCCCTCAGCCTCGACAGGGAAAGTCAGACTCCCAACCCACTGTGCTGGCTTTTCCTCTGCAAATAGGTGGGTGCTGAGCAAAGGATGAGACACTTTGGCACCACGAGAGATTTCTAGGAAATTAAATCTCACAGCCTGTCTCATCCCTGCTGGTAACTGCTGGTAACTGCCCTCCACCCCTGGAAATAGTGGGGCCTAGCGGCCCATCCACACTGAGCTGTGAGGACAAGGTGGGGGCTGGGGGCCAGCTTGGCCCTGCAGACCCCCAAAGTGGTGCTGCTGCTGGTGTGCCCCACATGCTGCCCCTGCAGCAGCTCATTTCCTGCAGCAAATAAATCTGCCTTTGCTGCCGAGACATTTGTCTAAGAATATTAAATTTTGCTGACAGTCACTGAGCTGACACCATCTCAGTTGCTGATGGGGCAGTTTCTGGGTGATAAACTAAGAAGTGTTGATTTTCTCTGCCACCCACATGGGCAAGACTGGGAACCAGATTGCAGAATTTATTGTGTTTTGTGCCCTGAGCTGTGGCTTGGACCTGAGCAAGCTGCTGGGCGTTGGTTTTGCCTCTCCCTCAGTGTTAAGGCTCAAGAGGCAGGTCCCAGCACCCAGCCCCTCACCCCACATGGAGAGGCAGCTGTTGCAGATGTCCGAGGAGCTGAGCCAAGGCCTGGGAATGTCCTGGTAATTTAATTAAGGGTGGAGGTGGTGTTCACCAGTTGCACAGGGCTCTATCTGCACCTCGGGCTCAAGATAATCTGCTGTCTCCTTGCACTTTGAACGCAGCCATGGCCCCATTTTGGAGGCTGATGACTGTTCCTTGCCGTGTTCCTCACATTCCCTGTGCCCACGTCCCCCTCGGGCTCCTGGCCCTGATCCTGGCCCCCTGGAGGGATCAGGGCCCTCCCCTGCACCACAGGCTGAGTATACCTGATATTTTTAGTGCAGGAAATGAGTAAACATTTAACAAAAGCTAAATTAAACATTTAGAGAAGCCTGGACAACGTTAGTAAATGACTGCAGTTATTTCATCCTCTTTTGTGCACCGTGTGGTCTCGGGCAGATGTCGAGGTACCATCTCCCAACTGAGGAGCCCACTTTGCTGATCCTTCAGACACCCCTCACACCAGCCCCGGGGTGTTGTGTTTGCAGCATCCACAGCAGGCACAGAGCACAGGGCCACCCTTTGTCCGGGCCTGCCGATCACAGGGACCACGTTTCACAGCAGAGCCGCCGCTTTCATTCCTTGCATTTCTTGTGGCTGATGTCAGGACACGGCGGGGGTGCCGCAGGGGCCCTCCTGCTCTGGGGGTATATGTATGTGTGTGTCCCCTTCCCCAGATTTCTGTGTGTTGCCTTCCAGCCCTGGTGTCCCCAGGGAGGCAGCGTTCCTGCACTTTGGCAGCTCCCAAGGGGTGGGAGGAACAATCGGGATGATCATCTGGTTTTCAGCAGGGGAAGGAGGAGGCGGTGGGGTGGTTGTTGTGTGAGAGGTGTGTGTTGCAGGCCTGGACACCCAACCATGCTCAGAGGGTGGCTGGTTGGGGTCAGGGGGTCTCCATGTGGCTCTGGCCAGGGCACAGTTGGGGACAGGAGAAGGCCCAGGGGCCTGGGAGCTCTGGTTCCCCAGGGATCTGCCCCAGCACAGCCCCTGCAGGGTCACACACCGTGTTTGTGGGGTTGCTCAGAAGTCAGTGTTTGCTGTGGAGCTGGAGCCTGCAGGCCAGGGATGAAGTCTCCAGATGTGAGGCCTCGAGTCAGAGAAAGGTTTGGGTTGAAAGGGACCTTTAAAGATCATTCAGCCAAACTCCCTGCCATGGGCAGGGACATCTTCAACATGACCAGGTTGTTCAGCACCCTAAATGTTTCTTTGAATGTTTCCAGGCATCCAGGGTCCCCTTCTGCCCAGAATGGACCATGGATGGTGTTGGTGGTTGTTCCTCTGCCATCTCCTCTATGGTACTTCCATCCTTCCCCTCCCTCTTCTGCCACCGACACGCTTGGTGCCCAGCATCATGCTCAGGAGATCCTGCATCCCCAGAGATTCCCAACAAGCTCATGTGCAGGTGGGTCAGGGAACAACGTCTGGGTGGCAGAGGGCTGTCTCTGAAGGTTATCAGTAAATTAGAGGGGAAAAAAAAAACAAGACTCACTAGAAGTCATGGCATTTTCAGTTCCCAGTACGGATGCTAAGGGTGAGGTGGTTCCCCAGGACCATGGAGGTGCTTTGGATCAACTGTTCACATCCCTTACTCCCATCCTTGCAGCAAAAGAAAGGGACAGACTAGAAATGGCCATAAGGAGAGTGGAAAAAACATGTTCAGCTGAATTTCTCATCATTCTTTCTCTTCATAGCTAATGAGCTCCTGGCTGATGAGCCCATAAAGATCATTAGATTAATTTCTTTCCTTGCTGTGACTTAATTGTCTCCATTTGTAGTGTGCAGCGCTCGCACTGGGGATGTATTTCTGCCTGCCTATATTTAGTTTGATCTCCACCATGGTATCAAAATACATAAATTAAGGCTGCCTCTCAAGCTTTTAGTGCACCAAGATCCCACAAACAATTTCCATCCATTTTGTGCAATCCAGGACTTCAGCAGCAGGATGCTGGGCACAGGAGATGCCAAGGGCAGCGTCAAACCATCCATGGTCCCTTGGGGTCCACATGAGAGGAGGAGGAGCTGCTCTGGGGATCACTCTGTGAGACCTGCTCCTCCCTGCGGAGATTTGAGGAGGAAAGATGAAATAAGAGGCAAAGGAATGGGAAGAAACATACTGGACATGTAGTTAACCAGCCTGAGATGGGAACACAAGGGGCATGTGGAGGGAGGCAGGGCGAAAGCAGCGAAGTTTGTGCTACCTCACTGCAGAGCTGTGGCAGGTCCCCAAAACAATGTGCCCTATCCCCAAACTCCATTATGGTGATCTTGATATCCCACAGGCAGGAGGAGGCAGGCACTTCCCAAAGCCACCCTGATCCTGAGCAGAAAATCTCCTGCATTTATTATGGTGAAGCCAGAAAGTTCACCTCCCTCTAGGAACCAGCCAGTCAGTGAAATTCCTTGCCACAAATGTAACCCCAGAGCTGCTGGGGAAAAAACATGGTGAAAATGGCAACAAAACAGTATTTTATGGGACCTGGAGGTGATGCAATGGGTGCTCATGCTGGCTCCAGGTGCAAAGCACCCAGCAGCACAAATCAGGGCAATTCCTGCCCCAAAAAAACCCCACCCTGCCATGTCTGTGCAGTGATCCAGGGCCCCAGGACCTCCTGGGCAGGTCACTGATCTGAAGAAACACCTCAGTAGTGACTGATGTACTGATGTGCAGGTCTGTGCAGTCACCACGGGCTGTTCTTCCCTACCCTGCTGCTTTCAGGGGTGAGTCTGTCTGAGCATCCCTGCCCCAGGGGAGCCCCGTGGCCACGGGGACAGGAGCCAACGCAGGTAACAGTTTAACTCGAGTTTATTTATACATACAGAGGTAACTGCATTTTGAGTTAAAAAAAAGGCAGATAAACGATTGAGATGGTGAATGTGTCTGACTGAAACCATGAAGGAACAAAACCAGAGCAGATGGCAGAACTTAGTTGAAAACAGGGGGCTGGGGCTGTCCTGCCCTCTCTGCCAGGCAGACAGTGTTCCCAGCATGAGGAGAGGGGGTCTGGGCAAGGACTCTACAGTTCAAGGGAAGGGGAAGAGGCAGCTCAGGAGAGACTTCATCATCATGAGAACTGACTTGAAAGCAATCAAAGTAGTGCAGGGTGAACTTAAAAGCAATGGGCTAACTAGGGAGATGGATTTTTAGTGATGGCAGGTAGAGCTGAGTTTGTGAGGTTGTACCAGCAGCTCAACTGGTGGGCATCCAGGCCCACCAAAGCCTGTGGAGAGCATCAGGGTCTGATGCAGCACAGCCTCATGAAATGGTGTTTCCCACTACAGAGGAACTTAGTGTAAAGATGTTTGGAAAAGTGGGCCCTGTGCCCTCCCTCTTTGCCAGCAGCAGAGAGGGTTAATTAAAAAAATCAAACCTGCCCTGTGTATGATTCCAGGTGATGGAGGCCCTGGCACCCGCTGACTCCGGCAGCTAAACCACAGCACAGCTTTATGTGGCAGCAGGTTGAGCATCTGAAAGTTGAGCACGAGGGAAAGCAGAGAGCAGGTGCTTGTTTCTGTCAGCAAAGTTGTTCCACAAAACTCTTGGACTACATGAACACATCCTGGGATGGGAACCTGTTGTAATCTTGGGATAACCAGCTTCACTCGGCTGCCTGAGCACTGTGTGTGGCTGGGCAGCCCCACGGGCTCTGCCTCCCCGTGAGCTCCAACTTAATGAGGAAAAGTAAGAACCATATGGTAATTCCAAATAGAGGCAAAACTTGTCTGTGTGTTTGGGCCTGGTCTACTCAAACATTTTCCTACAGCATTAACTTTTAATTCTTAACTCAGACCCACAGATGCAAACATAAATAGGATTTTACACTTTACATAAATCCGTCCAGCTTGTGTTTGCTGTTACATGTACTGAGTAATCACTGCTGCTACGTATAGAAGAGCTAATAATAAATATTAGGACACAAACTTACAAGTTAAATGAGATACAGTTAAGTAGTTGATTAAAACCATTCTCTAAGGTTACAAAAGACTAAGTATTGCTTCTCTAATGTGCTTTTCTCCTTGGTTTGGGTCTCTCACCTGCCAGATTTGTGCTGGGAGGAGTGCAGAGGAGAGCTCGGTGCGTGGCAGTGATGTGCATCCATGGGGGAAGCAGGAGCAGGGAGGGAAGGTGGACACGGGGAATGGAGGCAGATCACTGGCAGGGTTCCTTGCCCCACACCCTGTGGAAAGCCAGGATATTGGCCGCAGCTGCAGCAGGACCGTTGCAAGCAGAAGCAGATTGTTCCCCACTCCCTATCCAGTGCCTTCTCCCCGCTGGTCAGGAGAGGGACGGGCTCTGCTCGGTGTGGGCTCGCAGCAGCGCCGCGATGTCCCCGCGGGCCAAGGACAGGGCCGAGTTCCCGCCCTGCGGGGAGGGAGGAGGTGAAGACGTTACCACTGAACCCCTGCCCCCAGCTCCACCCTCGGCCACCTCCACTTCCTGGCCCCATTACTACCACAAGAGGCTGTTCCCAACCCCCTGACGAGTTTTTCCTCAGCTCTCCAGGGAGTGGTTGGCCAGGACAGCTTCACACCCAACGGTTCACCCCCAAAAACTTGCTTCCCTGCAGTTCTACCCTCGTTTAAAATGAGTGGCCATCCTGCAAGCCTCCCCACGGGCCTAATTACCTCAGGTGCCCAAAAGGCATCCTGGCTGTGCCTTCTGATCCTGGTGCCATCCCACACATCTGAGATAAAATTGCAGCTTAATTAGAAAATAGTTGCATAACTATAAACGCAGCCATGTGGTCCATCACCACAAGCCCATGGAGGGAATTTCCACGAGACTGTCCCACACATCTTCCCAGAGAGGTGTCCATTCTCAGAGGAGAGTTAATTGCTGCTAATTTCTTGGAGCTGAAGCTCTGCTGAATCCAAATCTAGGATTTAATCATCCTTTTTTTTCAGATTTACACCAGGTTGGGCTCTTCCCAGGGCTACAGCTGGGATGCAGGACACTGCCACGGCCAGCCCGTCTGCTGCACAACATGCACCAAAACCAGGGAACTCTCCAAAAAGTGGTCCAGATTAGAAAGTGGACTAAAACTGTATTTCTCCTACAAACCAGCACTCGAGGCTGGCTGCCTGTAAAGTGTGATGCCCCAGGAGCTTTCCCTA